GAACTAGACACGGACACGAATTATCTGTTTAGTGTGTTAACACACTATTGGTAGTTTGTTGTAACCAAGTATTGGTGCTAAACTGTGTGTTATTGGATGCTAGCATGCTAGTTAGCTATGGTGTCATAGTTAGCTAGCTGAATAAAGTAAGTTGAGTCTATTCCTTGAAACATTGAACCGCTGTAGTTTACAACAATTATAATTTCTAAAGTGGAAGTTGGGAGAGTTTTATTCGGGTGGTTCAGTGAAACAATTATAGTTTCTGAGGTGGAAGTTGGGAGAGTTATATTTTTTTTGGTAAGGGAGGCCCTGCTCTCTCCTTTCCCAGATGTTTAGTTCATTTCATTCCGATCTCCTCTGCATTATTGTAGCCATCTGCTACAGCCTGTCAACTATGCCTGTGCCTATCCCTGTTCTCTCCTCTCCGCACAGGCTACACAAACGCCTCACACCGCGTGGCTGCTGCCTCTCTAACCTGGTGGTCCCTGCACGCACCACACACCTGGAGTTCCAGGTCTCAGGCAGCCTGACTTCATCCCAGCCTATGCTACCCTCCAGTCCCTCGACTTCCTGGCGCTGACGGAAACATGGATTACCACTGAAAACACTGCTACTCCTACTGCTCTCTCCTCGTCTGACCATGTGTTCTCGCATACCCCGAGAGCATCTGGTCAGAGGGGTGGTGGCACAGGAATCCTCATCTCTCCCAAGTGGTCATTCTCAATTTTTCCCCTAACCCATCTGTCTATCTCCTCATTTGAATTCCACGCTGTCACAGTCACTAGCCCATTTAAGCTTAATATCCTTGTCATCTATCGCCCTCCAGGTTCCCTTGGAGAGTTCATCAATGAGCTTGACGCCTTGATAAGTTCCTTTCCTGAGGATGGCTCACCCTTCACAGTTTTGGGGGATTTCAACCTCCCTACGTCTACATTTGACTCATTTCTCTCTGCCTCCTTCTTTCCACTCCTCTCCTCTTTTGACCTCACCCTCTCACCGTCCCCCCCCTACTCACAAGGCAGGCAATACGCTTGACTTCATCTTTACTAGATGTTGCTCTTCTACTAATCTCACTGCAACTCCCCTCCATGTCTCCGACCACTACTTTGTATCCTTTTCTCTCTCGCTCTCCTCCAACACTACTCACTCTGCCCCTACACAGATGGTAACGCGCCGCCGCAACCTTCACTCTCTCTCTCCCACTACTCTCTCCTCTTCCATCCTATCATCTCTTCCCTCTGCTCAATCCTTCTCCCTCCTATCTCCTGATTCTGCCTCCTCAACCCTCCTCTCCTCCCTTTCTGCATCCTTTGACTCCCTGTGTCCCCTATCCTCCCGGCCGGCTCGGTCCTCCCCTCCAGCTCCGTGGCTTGATGACTCATTGCGAGCTCACAGAACAGAGCTCCGGGCAGCTGAGCGGAAATGGAAGAAAACTAAACTCCCTGCCGACCTGGCATCTTTTCACTCCCTCCTCTCTACATTTTCTTCATCTGTTTCTGCTGCTAAGGCCACTTTCTACCACTCTAAATTCCAAGCATCTGCCTCTAACCCTAGGAAGCTCTTTGCCACATTCTCCTCACTGCTGAATCCTCCCCCCCCCCCCCCCCCCCCTCCTCCCTCTCTGTGGATGACTTCGTCAACCACTTTGAAAAGAAGGTAGACGACATCCGATCCTCGTTTGTTAAGTCTAATGACACTGCTGGTCCTGCTCACACTGCCCTACCCTATGCTTTGACTTCTTTCTCCCCTCTCTCTCCAGATAAAATCTTGCGACTAGTGACTGCAGGCCGCCCAACAACCTGCCCGCTTGACCCCATCCCCATCCTCTCTTCTCCAGACCATCTCCGGTGACCTTCTCCCCTACCTCACCTCGCTGATCAACTCATCCTTGACCGCTGGCTATGTCCCTTCCGTCTTCAAGAGAGCGAGAGTTGCACCCCTTCTCAAAAAACCAACACTCGATCCCACTGATGTCAACAACTACAGACCAGTATCCCTTCTTTCTTTTCTTTCCAAAACTATTGAGCGTGCCGTCTTTAGCCAACTCTCTTGCTATCTCTCTCAGAATGACCTTCTTGATCCAAACCAGTCAGGTTTCAGGACTGGTCATTCAACTGAGACTGCTCTTCTCTGTGTCACGGAGGCTCTCCGCACTGCTAAAGCTAACTCTCTCTCCTCTGCTCTTGTCCTTCTAGACCTGTATGCTGCCTTTGATACTGTGAACCATCAGATCCTCCTCTCCACACTCTCCGAGCTGGGCATCTCCGGCGCGGCTCACTCCTGGATTGCGTCCTACCTGACCGGTCGCTCCTACCAAGTGGCGTGGCGAGAAGCTGTCTCCGCACCACGTGCTCTCACCACTGGTGTCCCCCAGGGCTCAGTTCTAGGCCCTCTCCTTTTCTCCCTATACACCAAGTCACTTGGCTCTGTCATATCCTCGCATGGCCTCTCCTATCATTGCTACGCTGACGATACACAACTAATCTTCTTCTTTCCCCCTTCTGATAACCAGGTGGCGAATCGCATCTCTGCATGTCTGGCAGACATATCAGTATGGATGACGGATCACCACCTCAAGCTGAACCCTGGCAAGACGGAGCTGCTCTTCCTCCCGGGGAAGGACTGCCCGTTCCATGATCTCGCCATCACGATTGACAACTCCGTTGTGTCCTCCTCCCAGAGTGCGAAGAGCCTTGGCGTGACCCTGGACAACACCCTGTCGTTCTCCGCTAACATCAAGGCGGTGACCCGATCCTGCAGGTTCATGCTCTACAACATTCGGAGAGTACGACCCTGCCTTACACAGGAAGCGGCACAGGTCCTAATCCAGGCACTTGTCATCTCCCGTCTGGATTACTGCAACTCGCTGTTGGCTGGGCTCCCTGCCTGTGCCATTAAACCCCTACAACTCATCCAGAATGCCGCAGCCCGTCTGGTGTTCAACCTTCCCAAGTTCTCTCACGTCACCCCCCTCCTCCGCACACTCCACTGGCTTCCAGTTGAAGCTCGCATCCGTTACAAGACCATGGTGCTTGCCTATGGAGCAGTGAGGGGAACGGCACCTCCGTACCTTCAGGCTCTGATCAGTCCCTACACCCAAACGAGGGCATTGCGTTCATCCACCTCTGGCCTGCTGGCTCCCCTTCCTCTGCGGAAGCATAGTTCCCGCTCAGCCCAGTCAAAACTGTTCGCTGCTCTGGCACCCCAAATGGTGGAACAAGCTCCCTCACGACGCCAGGACAGCGGAGTCACTCACCACCTTCCGGAGACATTTGAAACCCCACCTCTTTAAGGAATACCTGGGATAGGATAAAGTAATCCTTCTACCCCCCCCCCCCCCCCCCAAAAAAAAAAAAACATTGTAAAGTGGTTATCCCACTGTCTATAGGGTGAATGCACCAATTTGTAAGTCGCTCTGGATAAGAGCGTCTGCTAAATGACGTAAATGTAATAACACAGTATTTTGTTTTATACTGTAGTCTGACATATTTGTTCAAATATATGTGTATCTTTTCTCCTGTCAAAAATGTTTTATTTAGTGTAATTTTTTATTTTTTATTTTTTTAATGTACCTAACATACAGTATAAAACTATTCCAATATACCAATCCAATCCCAGTATATATATATATATATATATATATATATATATATATCAATGCTAATGTTAAATCTTTAATGAATGTTTTTTGTGTCCTGAAAATATGATTTATAAGGATGTTTTACACCTTATTTATGAGTTAGCCCCACATATTTATTAACGGCCTAACCTGTTGTCATTTGTGGTAAACTATCTCACAAATTGATATAAAGTATCTAATTGAGCGGACAACTAAGACAATTGATTCATGAACAGTTCATGCCTGAAAACCCCAATTGCCCAACGTGCCCGCTCAAATTGTACTACCCTAAAACTCTGTATTTCTTTGGCTGCGTTTACACAGGCAGCCCAATCTGATCTTTTTTCATTAATTCGTCTTTTGACTAGTCAGATCAGCTTTGAAAAAGAGCTGATGTGAAAAGATCTAATGGGATTGGTCAAAATACCATTTAGTGGACAAAAGATCACAATTGGGCTTCCTGTGGAAACACAGACTTTGTGATGGTAACACATATACAGGTAGACCAGAGAAGCCACATCCCTGATTGGCAGATGACTGGCAGCACTGATTAGAAGCACCTGCTGCTCACCGGTCACACACCTTTGTTCCCCGTAATAAATTATGTTTCTGATTTGAAAAGATCTGAACCTACACAAGGTTGTTACGCGGAAACATGTGTATGCTATCCTGATGTAGTAAAAATAATAACAATATATACAAATTATGTAAACTATACGCGAAACCTTTTTGAGTGCGGACCGATCACACTTTGTAAGTGAGGAGGTGTAAAAATGAGCTTATCTGTTAATATTTTTATGAATAGACAAATAAGTAACTTTGAAAATATACTTCATGACTTTGTAGAATAGCATACCCAGGGTAGCCAAGAGGAGGGGATGAGGAGGACCCATGGTTGTAGAACAATAGTACTTGATTTAGAGTAGATGCAGGATTTTAGCAAACGTGACTTGAAAAACTGTTTACATTAAATTATAGTCTTTTAGCAGCAACTAGGTTTAAGTGCCTTGCTTAATTAAGGACACATCGGCAGATTGTTCACCTAGTCAGCTCAGAGATTCAAACCAACAAACCTTTGGTTACTGGCCCAATGCTCTTAACCACTAGGATACCTGCTGCCCTTGTTGAGCCTATGTCAGATTTTGCGTGTATATTACAGTATGTTAAATGATGTCCTTATTTAGTGTCAGTAGATTAAATAAAATTATTCCCATGAAAGATAAGAAAACATGCATTGTAAATAAGTTTTTATTTCAAAAAATGTGTAATGCAAATATTTCCATAATCATTTAAAAGGGTAATCAGGAAGAACAGTTCACCATCCAGTGGCTTCATCGTTGTGCGCACACACACACACACACACACACACACACTAATTGGTATTTTGATCAGCTATGAAAAAAATCTGATGTGAAAAGATCTGATGTTGTTGTTGAAAAGACCAATTATAGGGAATAAATATCAGAAATCGTCTGCCTGTCTAAATGCAGCCCTTGCGACTTCATCTGTAGCCCACTTGGCAAACACTGGTTGAATCAACGTTTCCATTTCATTTTAATGAAATTACATTGAACCGACGTGGAATAGACGTGGAATTGACGTCTTTGCCCAGTGGGGGGTATGTTTGCGGACACTCATCACTATACAAATATTTGCACACAGTCACACTCACTCACACATATCCACCAAGAAACACAGACAAACGTAAGTCTTCCTTCATAAAGGGACATCAACAAATGCAGAATTTAAAAAAACATCCTTTGTCACAAATAAATTAATTACATGTAGGGGATGACATGGGGGTTATACGAATATGGAGGATCTGTTTTTACACAAACTTCTCATTTCTTAAAGGGACAGTTCATCTTCATCAACACCAGCAACACTCCAACGTCAGCATACTGTATATTAAAATGGATGGTTTCTATGTTTTGTGGTCAACAAAGTAGAAGAAGGTAAGTGTTGATTTTGGAGTGTTGCTGGAGATAATGAATATGAAGTTCAAATGTCTCTTTAAGAAATAAATTATCCTCCATATACTTATATCCCCATAGAAACGTGCCATTTTCACATATGATGTTTGGGGTGGTGCTAGAGATGATGAATATGAGGTTAAATTAATTAAATGTTTCCTTTAAACGGTATTGTCAATCATCACAATATGTTAGTACTTGTCCTTGTATCACTGAGTCCATTCGGTAGGTTAATGTCCTACTACCCCCAACTAGAAGGTGTTTCATTAAGTAGGTAGAAAAACATTATTGCACTTATAAGCATATAACTTCAGATCTGACATGGTCCTTTGTTCTGGTACCAAAGTGAGTCCAAACTGGCACCCTATTCCCTACATAGTGAAAGTACAGTACTATGTACTTGTGGTCCTCTGTAGCTCAGCTGGTAGAGCACGGCGCTTGTAACGCCAAGGTAGGGGGTTCGATCCCCGGGACCACCCATACACAAAAATGTATGCATGCATGACTGTAAGTCGCTTTGGATAAAAGCGTCTGCTAAATGGCATATTATTATTATTATTATTATTATGTAGGGAACAGGGTGTAATTTGGGGACACAGCCTGACCAAGGTGAGTAAAGGTAAGGAGGCAGGATCCCTGAGTGCATGGTGCGTCCCCTTCAGACCTGCATTACAGCATCATCATACCTAGTACACCTAGCAGGATCAGAAGAGCTATGGAGGAGAGAGAGAGAGAGAGAGAGACAGAGAGAGAGAGAGAGAGAGAGAGAGAGGGGTGGAAAGAAAGAAAGAGAGAGAGGAGAGACATTATTTAACCTTTCATATTGATTTTCTACTCTAGCTAACATGGGATTATATGATATTAGTTACTATGGTAACACTTTAGAATAACTTCCATGAATTACAACATTATAAATGGTCATACACATTTATAAATGCTTCATAAATGATTTATTAATAAATTGCTTTTCATGCTTATGAATGAAAAATAAAATATTTCTGAATAAGCATTAATGCTTAATCATGTTATCATTTATAATTATAAAGTCTTAGTGGTGCTTCTTATGGGCTTATTACCTTGAGACAGGGTGTGCTGCAGGACAAAGGCGTGGCTGGAGGGAGCAGCAGTAGTGGAGGGTCTAGCAGTAGTGGTGGCATTACCAGTAGTGGTGATGTTGTTCAAAGAGTTGGTCACAGTAGCGGTGGAGTTGCTCAGGTCCACCCCTTTACTACTGACCAGGACAGCAGTGGGACTACCCAGTATTCCTGAGGGACGAGAAACAAGGAGAGAGAGAGAGTTAGAGAGCGAGAGAGAGAGAGAGAGAGAGAGTGTGAGATAGAGATGGACCCCTATATACTGATCTGAGGTCAGTTTAGCATTTCCTCCAGTAATGGTTAAGGTGATAATTGGGGGAGGGGAACTGATCCTAGATATGTACCTAGGGGAAATTTCATCAGGTGCGTGTTTGGAAGAGTGCCTCACCTTTAGTAAAAGTCCCATTGGAGATGGAGGATGAAGAAGCTGGTGTCGGAGCTCCGGGTGGCCGTAGCATTGGGGACAGTAGCAGAGAAGGTGCACTGGATGGTCTGATTGTTGACTGAGCCTTTCACAGAGTTCACAGGCAGCTACACAACACAACACAACAGTATTAAACCAAATGAGCATTAGACAAATGTCAGTAGGCCTACACTGTAGAATTGCAGTATAATGTTTTCTCCCGGGCATTTTCCCAATGGCCCAAGTGAATGGGGAAAAAAGGGAAATGGGGGGAAACCAACCAAGAACCCCAAAAAAGGGTGGGGTTTTTCATTTCCCCCCAAAAGAAAATCAAATCATTTTTCAGTTCCCCCAATTCCCCCCAAAAAAAAACCCCCCTTTTAAAAGTACTTTAAAATTTTGTTTGGCCAACCCGTGTTGGGTTTTTTGGGGGGGGGCCCCGGGGGGGGGGGGGTTGGTTTTGGGACAAATGGGGGTATTCCCCCAGAGGGGGGGGGGTTTTTTTAAAAAAAATTTCTTTTGGCAAATTTTTTCCCCCTGAAAAAAATGCAAATTTCCCCCTTTTTTTTTTTTTTGGTTGTTTTTTGACTAAAAACGTTTTTCCCAAGTTGGAGGGTTTGGGAAACCCAAACATGTGCCGGGTCCTTAGTGGGGGAAAATTTTGGAAAGGCTGCTTTGGGGAAAAGAAAAGGGAAACTGGGGTCAAATCCAACTTCAATGACCACCCAGAAAATATGGAATTCAGTTCATGCATACTGCTACTTGTGCTCTCAATTATATTGTCCAACTAATCAAACTCATTGATTGGACTACAGTCTACCCTCCCTGAATTTGCCTGGAATTCAAACCACGCCCTGAAAGTCTTTTCCAGAAAGTCCACAATTTTAAAACACTGGTTTGATTGGTACCAACTCACTGTGTTGTTTTGGTCAGATTTCCATTTTCGAGGAGAGCGGTGAAGAAACTGGACGATGCCGTTGTTGTTGGCACACACATAGGTGGTGTCATTACCGCCCTGTAGAGGAGAGAGAGGATGAATTCAAATAAACAAATAATAAGTATTCATTTTGGCAATTTCTTTCCAACCCATGAATAAAATGTCAATGTCAATACCCCAAATTGACAAAATCCCAACCCCAACTCCCTTTCCTTTGTATTGTAAAATGTATAGTAATTCTAAAGGCAGTTTTCCATACCTGTATGGAGTCTGTGGACAAGCCTACAGCGATGTAGCCGCTGGACACTCCTCGTAGCTGGAAGGAGAAGGTCTGTCCCGAGGACTGCTTGGTGGAGACGAAGAAACAGGAACCAGCCACGGACGGATCACAGTTGTCTGGCACAGCAGCACAGAACTGAGTCTTTCCACATTCCGCCCTTAAGATATTTCCCTGTGTATGAAGAGTTCATCATTAGTTGCTGTCATGTTTGTCATTCCTTTTGAAATAGTGTAGTATATGAGTGCAAATGAAACTCCCAAACAGGCACTTTGCTAAATCTGCTTTCTGTTTCCATGGCAGCGTGTGAGGTTTATTGTTGAAATCCTTCAAATTTACTTTAAATACAGTTTGATTTCAGAGAGAGAGAGAGAGAGGAGAGAGAGAGAGAGAGAAAGAGAGAGAGAGGAAACAAAGAGATAGAGAAAGAGAGAGAGAAGAGAGAGAGAGGGGCAAGAAAGAGATACATTTAGAGAGGGAAGTAGTGATAATTAGTTGAGAGGAAAAAAAGAGAGTGAGAGGAAATGTGTGGTTCCTTTTTCTAGTCAGAGACTCTGTGAGACCAAGTGAGACATGTAGCCTAGGCAACTCACCGTAAGAGGTGTGACGGTGGTGTTGACAATAGGTGCCACGGTCGTAAGAGTAGTAAACATTAGCTGTAGTATTAGCTGCACTTGTGGCGTTCTGGGCCTGTGTGGAGTTCTGGGTCTGGCCTCTCATCGCCATGTACGCTATTACCATGACGACTGCCAACATCAGTCTGCTGCTATTGTCCATTCCTGATAGAGTAACGGAGATCCAGACGGTTAGGATATACTACTAGTGCTACTACTACTAATAATAATTCATTTGTTAAGGACGAATACAATTAAATATTTACAAATGTAATCATCAACAGTCAGATGGCATTGCACTATCATGCTTATGCTTGCATTTATGGGCTTGCACATTTGATGATGATACTACAAGCTTATTTCAAAAACTTTGAGTTGTATCAATGGCAATTTGAAACTATCATACCAGCGTGAATAAAAAACATGAACATTCCAGTGAATAAACATAGGCCTACCATTTGTGTGGTGATTGGTCATTAACTCATAAGGGTATATAAGACAATAAAACATTGCATAGTGAATGGGTAACATTGTTGAATTAAATCAGACCATAATTGTTTTCACATTATTAATTAGCAGTGGTGTAAAGTACTTAAATAAAACTAGTTTAAAAGTAGTAATGCAGTCGTTTTGGGGGGAATCTGTACTTTACCATTAATATATTTCACAACTTTCACTTTTTTCTTCACTAGTCTAAATTCCGAAATAAAATAATGTTATTTTTACACCAAATATTTTCCATGACACCCCAAAAGTACTCGTTACATTTTGAATGCTTAGCAGGACAGGAAAATTGTCAAATTCACGCACTTATCAAGAGAACATTCCTGGTCATCCCTACTGCCTCTGATCTGGGGGACTCACAAAACAAAAAATGCTTCGTTTGTAAATTATATCTGAGTGTGCCCTGGCTGTCCACAAATAAATAAAAAACAATACAATTTTACCGTCTGGTTTGCTTAATATAAGGCATTTGAAATTATTTTTAGTTTTACTTTTTGATACCTACCTATATTTTAGTAAATACATTTACTTTTGATACTTAAGTATATTTAAAACCAAATACTGGTTGACTTTAACTTTAACTTGAGTCATTTTCCATTAAGGTATCTTTACTTTAGTCAAATATATCAATTGAGTACTTTTTCCACCACTGTTAATTTAGTAGATCCCTTAATTTAATTAAATCATGAGACAAGAACCACAAAAACGTCCGTATTCCAAAACGGTTTATAATGTATGATCTGATAGTGTAGGCTACCCATTCATCAAGCGAACAGCTGCAAATAATAGACTGCCATTATGTCAGTGTTGAAAATGCCGTCATGAAGTGAAACGTGAAAAAAAACATAAAAACTAATAAATCGCTATTTGTATATATCCACATCATCAGATAAAAGAGATGGAAACCTTACCTGTAATTTGTTGACTTGGGAAGGTTTATTGAATCGAAAAGCGTCGTGGTTCTCCTTGAACAAGTTGTCTTCACGGTTACTGTAAGGTGCGCTAGAGAAGGAGTTTTGACTTTGTGTCGATGTCACACCTGCCTCTCGCTATTTAAAACAGCACTCGCGAGGGGAGGAGGGACAACAAAAGTTGGAGAAACCTGCCTCTCTCCTCCTTTAGGGTGGGGGGGGGGGGGGGTGTACGTGTGCATGCAGGTACGTGTGCCACCATAGGCTTAACGGGGGAGGGGTGAACTGGCGACGATGTTCAATGGAAACAATTATGTTGTTAAGCCTACTCTTGACCTCCGACAATAGATTGTGTCCAGTTACTGCGACCTTTTCCCAAAACACCCATCTTGCTGGTTTAAAATGTCGTCATTTCACTTATTTGTGTATTAAATATGTTTGGCGACTATAGCCAAGGCTATTCGCAAAGAAAGGGAAATAAGAATAACGTAATTATTTTAGCTACCAATATATAAAATTTAGGCCGAAATATAATCCACATCCAAACGAAACGACATTTAATCCTTTTCTTTTTACTTATTCTATGATTAATTCCAGGCCAATAACACGCTGCCAATCACACCCTGTCCAACTCAAATTACACATTATTCTTGCTCTGTTTGTTTGATCTAGCTGAGTTGAGCTTCACAGTGGAGGGCAGGCAATCTTTTGAGTTAAATCTTGATTGTGGCTAGTGGCTAATGGGTTAGACACCAGTTTTGGTGAATGAAAAAAAATGACATTACTATCTTTAGTAAAAAATTGTAAAATGTTTCTGGAGATGATAGAAGTTTAAGATATGGATGTCCTATTTTCATTAACAAGCCAGATAAAGAAAGTGCAATATTATGAACATAGTAATTTCTATATTATGAAATAGTAGATATTTGTAAAATGTATTTGTATAGGTTTTCCACACTGTCATGGATTATATTGTCCCACCCTAATGTTGAAAGGGAATGGGAGTGTTCATTCACTCACTTGAGAATCAGATGGGAGTGAAAGTGACTGGTTGTTGTAATGGAGAGAAGGTGAAGTTATCAGGAGATGGCCATTAACAACAAAATGTCACTGTTAAAGACAACAGAGCCGATAACAGCAATGGGACTGATTGTCAGTAACACACACACACGCACACACACACACACAAACACACACACGCAACACAGTACTTACTCTACTAGGTTACATATATTTTTTAAATGGACAGTGCACATTAATAGTCATTTCTGTAAAAGTGCCTCTTTTAGCCAGGCGGATAATTTTCAACTGCAGTCCCTGGGCAGTTTATTAAAAACATTAAAATGACAAAAACAGACAATGAGTACATGCAGAGCAGCATACGCATATGCTTACAAACTAACAAATGTTCACACAGACAAATTATGACTTTTACAATCACTTTGGCACTAATTTCAGAACCTTGACGTCATTTTTCAAAACTCTAGACACAAAACTCAAAATGGTCATCACTTGTAACACAGGCTGTCCAATGTTCAAAACAATGTGCATTGTGCATTCATATCTTTAAAGAAATCTTGCACTTGCCACAATCATTGGTTCAAAAAAACAAATTTATTGTGAAATACCAATGCAACGTTAATTTAGATCACCCACACACAAGCAACCGATAGTTTCACTGTGTCATTGTTCGTACAATCATTAAATATTGTAGTACAAAATAGGTGATACATGTTTCATTATGGTACTACATGTAAATACATCCCTGTAAAAGTACTGCAGTAGTAGAGAGAATACTACAGACACAGTGGAATTATTGAACAAAATCTGAAATATATTGATGAAAAACAATACAGTACTGTAAAACATCAAATGCAGTGTTCCTCAACTTGCTTGCTTGTACTGTAAAAAGCAAAACATAGGAGTGATTACTGTACTACTACATTTTCATCAACTCTGTCTTGTGGATTTGGCCACAGGTTCTCATCTACATCACAATGGATGTTTTCATTAGCCAAACATCTTGGAAAAAACCTTCGGGCATGGTGAATCCAGGCCTGACACTGGTCTGCCGTGATGTCATTGCATGCGTCATCCATGGCCTGGAGAAGAGTGACTTGTTCATGAGGGCGCCTATCATAAAAAATTCCTCAATCGGGTTAAGGAAAGGAGAGTATGGGGGGTAAATACAGGGTGGTAAATTGTGCATGGGCCTGAAACCATGCTTGCACCATATGAGCATGGTGGAACCTGACATTATCCCACACAATGACATAGGTCATGCCATCAGCTCTACAGACCTGATCGAGCTCATCAAGGAAGGTTACAAGGAGAGCTGCATTATATGATCCAATACGAGGTCTGCGTTCCACCTCACCATCTTCTGATTTAGCCGCACACATGGAAATGTTGGCCCCACGTTGTCCAGGTACTTGGATGGTTGCCCGCTGGCCAATGAAATTCCGACCTCTCCTCCTTGTCTTGGCCAGGTTAAAGCCTGCCTCATCCAAATATATGAATGTGTGATAGTTGTCATCAGCATCCAGCTCCATCACCCTCTAAAAATACATTTTGGAAAGAGATTTACTGATTACTGTACAATGTAGAATTATTAGGGAATTTTATTACAACAGCCATCTTGAAACTGAACATACCTGAACATACTCAGTCCTCATTTGCTTCACTCTGTCTGCATTTCTTTCAAAAGGCACACGGTATAGTTGTTTTAAAGACACCTGGTGCCTTTTCAGCATGCGTGCAATAGTCGGCAAACTTATGGATTCCACATTGTTAAACATGTCTTCATTGTCCAAGATATGCTGGCGAATTTCTGTAAGGCGAATATCATTTCTGGCCCGAATCAAATCGACCACAGCCTGCTCTTGTTGGTCAGTCAGAATTTTGCCTCTGCCTCCCCTATTTGGCCTAGTCTCAATTCTACAGGGAACATTACAGTAAGAAGACACTTGGTCACATCACCTACTCTGTGATACACATTGGTATGCAGTCATTTGACAATTGAGAGTAGCATAATGTTTAGTGCATGCTGACGACTTACCGGTTCTCATTGCGGAAAGTTCTGATTATTGAGGCCACGGTTGACCTTCTGAGGTTTGGTTGTATCATTGTAGCCGCCTCAGGCATTGTCATGCCATGGTTTATGACATGGTCTACAACTATTGCTCGGATTTCATTGGACACTCTTTGCTGTTGCTGCCGCTGTCTTGGTCCGTGGCCTTGTCCTCTACCACGTTCCCCCACACCTCTCAAACGAGGCCCACGACCACCTCTCAGAAGGAGTGCTTGTCCCCTGCCATTCCTTTGACCAACACGTCTTCCTCGTCTTCCTCGTCTTCCTCCCACCACTGCTTGACCTCTATTGTGACCTGGATCACCTGCCGGCTCCATGTTACAGTACGTATCACTATGTTGTTGCAAGTGGATCCCAATCAATTCTTTATATACGCGTTCCACAATGTGAACTCAATCATCAGTAACGAGTTGGCAGAATTGGACAAGCAATTACAAGGGCCTGCATCCATACAGTGCAGTACTGTCAATACTGTAAATAGTCTGAAAAAGTGATACATGGGACCATAGAAACGGTGTCTGATAAAGAATGATGATGAAATATTACATCCATAGATAATGTAGTCTAATTGGTTCATGCTCCACGCTAATTGGTGACAATGAATCTCGTTATCTTGAAACTTTAATGATCTAAACATGGAATATTGTTTGTCTGTTTCCATACAACTATGCATTAAGAGTAATGCAACAGTTACTAACCATTTTGAGCAGTTATATCAATTGATAGTTGGATAATTGTAATGGAATGAATAGACACTCATCTGAAATGTAATGTGTGAATTGCCTTTTGAAATAGTAGTACTTTGATGTTAAGTTGTGTCATATTGAACAGGTGATTTTTGTTAAATGAACAAATGATCTTAGTTTTATGTGTATTGTATCCAAGCAATTTAAAAAAGTGTTAGAGTTTTGAAAAATTTGCATTTTGATCATTGGTTGTGAGTTTTGTGTCTAGAGTTTTGAAAAATGACATCAAGGTTCTGAAATTAGTGCCAAAGTGATTGTAAAAAACTGTAATCTGCTATTTTGTTAGTCGTGTTAGGTGTAAAGGCTAACAAACATACTGATGCGTGCACACACATACCATACTGGAAACAAACTCACCACATACCATGAACATACACACAAACAAACACCAACACACACGCATGACCACTTCCAGGTACATACCATGGCATGCTCATACTAAGTAGTGTATTATTAGACGTGATGGTATGACGGTGTGAGATAGTATGACTGACAAAGTGTGACGGTATGTGAGAGCTGTGAGGTAATGGCTATGAGGTAAGCAGATATGAATGGGGAGGGGAAGTAAGGTTAGGTCAGAGGTCAAATAGGAAGTGAACTACTGCATAATAACAGTCCATACAATAAGAACCCCAGGCTTAGTTCAAATACATTCCTGAGAGGGTTGGGTTTGTACAGTCAGTATGGTGGGACACACACACCCCTCTCCTCTCTTCCTCCTCTCCTCTCTTCCCACCCTCCCCTCCCCCCTCCTCTCCTCCTCTTCTCACTTATACAATTACATACAGATTGGCGATGGAAGAGGTGAAGGAATAAATCATTCTGGGCTGCAATAAACTTGGACAACGTGGAACGCTGACAGATTTCTATGACTCACACACAGACACACACATGCACGCGCACAGAAACACACACACCCACACACACTCCTTGGTTTTATGCCACAGGTATTAGAGTGCTGACGGTTAAAGATGCCACACCTGCTTTTATCTGCCAGTCTCTGGATCTTGTCTGGCTGGTTCAGGTACTCTGTCACTACTTTACTACATCATAGGAAGACAACTAACCACAAACTCACTGCTGTTGTTACCTGACATAGACCACACCCAATGATACCTTTCCCTACCAGCTTTCTATTGATACTGAAGACCTAAACTTTGACGAGACATGGCTAAAACACTGCTGCCTCTGCTTTTGTCTCTGTCTCATAAAACAAGTCCTCTAGAGATTGTTTCCATCCTTGTAGGGGGAAAGCTTTCGACTAAAGAGGTGTCAAGTGACATTTTACAATAAGATGAGACACTGTCAGCAAATCAGCATATTGTGTCAACAACCATTTAGGTGTTTGTATCTAAGGGGAAAGC